TCCTGTATCACTCGCCAGGAGAATATCATCAGCCTGGTACAGGTCAGCAAAATATTTAACCAAAATTCCTGCGTTATGTCTTCCTTTTAGAATGAGATTTTCCTGTTTGTTACGTTCTGCTTGCAAAAAAGGCCGAAAGTGGTTATCTCAATAAACAAACGTAAAGAATAAGTTGGTTTTGGAACAAGGTTCTCTACATATACCGCATTTACATCATGAAGTAGTTAACACAAAAGTACAAAGAATACAAATTTTACATCTGCTAAGTATGCATCGAGTTCAGTACAACGTTCGATTCCACCTAGCTGAGAGCTATACTGAACGCCTTGCACGACTGCAGCATCTGCACTATCTATGTCGATCTGCTCGAGGAACCAAGTATGGACACCGCATGCAACGGAAAGTTTTTCGAAGAACCGTATCAACATCAAAGGAAGAGTATGCCTGTGAAAAACAATCTACCACAAGCTTTTGGTGACGGCTTTGGAATCTTTGTTTAACCATCAGAACTGGGTTAGAGGTAGCAGCATCAACGGAAAGGAAAACAGCGCACCAATATGCTGTTTGGGGACGAATTCATCAGCTTCGGCAAAGATCCAGCGGCACTCCAAGCAAAAGGTGTACCGTTGCAGAAGAAGCCAAGCGCCATCGGTGTGGAGATCAACAACTCCAAGACGAAGTGGACACGCAATAAACATTGGCTCGCAGGTACCGTCTTTACTGAAGGCGACGAGGTGACCAAGTTGCTAGCTCTCTCTCCTCGGCAACCTAATAGACTCCAATAACAATATCAACGGCGAGATAAGCAGGAAAAGGAAAACGACATGGACAAGTTTCACATCGAAACATGATAATGCCAGTCGCCGAATAACGAGTCTCTCAAATATATGACGAAGAACTGTTCTATTCCACCATTGTATCCGCCATGATTATGGCGCGGAGTGCCAATCTGTTACCGAGGGTTGGGAAAAAACCAGCAGTAACGCAGAAGACGATGCATCGAAAAACATGCAACGTCTCCTTCCAAGATTACGTGCTAAGTGCGATAGTTCGTTGCCGGGAACTATTTTTAGACGTACTCACTGTCAGCTGCAACTCGACGAGATGATCGGATGACCACGTGGCTCTCTTGAAGCATACCTGCTGACATCGCAAATTATTAGCCTCAGAAACCGACGGCCAGTCGGTTGTCCTCCAACAAGCTGGGACGACTAAATGACGAAGCTATTTGGTGAATTGTGGAAAAAATGGACACAAAACCGAGAAGAGTGGCGGAACGTCGACTTGCTGCTGTGGCGGGGTCATTGACGAAGTTAGGTCGATGGGAGAATGCAAACAGTCACTCACACATTCCCAATATTTTCTTAGATCTTTCGGAAACTCTATACTTGCTGGACTTTGACATCGAAGAATCGCTAAGTTGTCGAAGGCCTCTGAATTATTTTGAACTTATTCCCATACATGTTTTGGGCTGTTTTATCAAACCGAAGAATGCACATGCTCCTGAATTCACTTGACAATTTTTTCTGACCGAGGGACGTCAGCACCTGTTCGTTGGTGACTCCTTGATGCCATTACTCAATGAGGATACTTCGTAGATAGCGCCTTTGGAAGTCGCCAAGACGCTCTCCGTGACGTTTGAGGCCGCAGATATATTCACTCTCTCTATGCACATGCGAACATGGTCTTCATATTCATACTCACTCGATCTGTCTACATTTCGTGCAGCTTGTCGAAATTCACTGATACCGGACCAGTGCATCGGTTCACTTCAGGATTCATGCCGCTCTTTTTAACCGAAGCAGTTCCAAGGCACTAGAAATGTTCCATCTTCTATATTGCACTGCCATTATACATATTGTCCCCCATTCCCTTGGCTGTCGAAATCAGGAAGTGACACGCTACCATACCTCATAGTTATATGACCCTCTACTCGAATCATTTTCCGACTATGAAAAGCTTCTCCTACCATTCGGCTGACCAGGTTTGTTATCATCCGGTATTTCGTCTGAACTCTGAGTACTACATGCTTACTCTGGAACGGCTAGAGCTATTAGCCGTGGCAGCTAGGAAATGGCGCAGAGGGAAATTATTCTAATTTTCATCTTAGAAGTGCGAGTTCGATCCTGTACTGCGAGAATTTTTTTTATTATTTGTGTTTTTTCTGAACAATGAATTCACTCCATTGCGCTTCAGTGCAACCAGAAGAATAATGGGTGGCAATCATTCCTTAAACTGCGAACACGAAAGACAGCATGATGCTTTGTCATGGTGATGCAGTCATGTCTAAGCGTACGAGACCTAAGACCATGCTGACTGATGCATATCATTCACGGCTGCAAATTGACTTATCCCTACTGAGAGCTCATTAAATCAGCATTCCGTGAATGAATCATATTATGCAACTAACATGAAAGTAAGCTGTAAGTTATTAATAGTCCACTTCCGGTACGGTATGTTATCTG